TGTTATTATAATCGTTAGTACCTATAAGGAGTGATAACCACGAATTAAACGTCTTGCCCACCAGATCATTATTTCACTTTTTAATATTCAATGGAAAGAGTAATTGTAACCACCAAGAAAATGTTCTGGTCTTATGTATGAGGCCGTTGTTACACTTAATAATACTCACCAGAAGTAGCACTTATGAATTAAATGATCCAGTCTTGGCATGACCAGGTGGATAAGGCGCTCGACTCGCAGTCTGAGGGTCGCGGGTTCGAATCCCCTTCCCACCAAACATGCTCGCCCTTTCAGCCGTGGGGGCGTTATAATGTGACGGTCAATCCCACTATTCGTTGGTAAAAGAGTAGCCCAAGAGTTGGCGGTGGGTGGTGATGACTATCTGCCTTCCCTCTAGTCTTACACTGCTAAATTAGGGATGGCTAGCGCAGATAGCTCTCGTGTAGCTTTGCGCGAAATTCAAAAAAATAAACAAAACAAACCGATTTCATCTATGACGCCAGTGTTACATCTGATAATGCCCAGCGGGAATCATAACCATCAAGTACATGTTATAGTTTTGTCTACGAGTACATGTTTGTGATCTTCACTGTAAGGTCATTATTTCACTTATTAATACCCACTTGGGATAGAAATGGTAATGAAACAATGGCATGTATAGCAGTTTTTGAAATACATTTTTATTTGTTATTTTTTTCTGAATTTCTCAAGTAATGAATGTATTGGACTATATGAACATAGGAATGTAATGTGCATTAGTTGACTATATAAGGCAACAAAGAATTTTAGCAGTAATTAGATCAGCAACATGTATTTGATTGAAAACAAGATTTCAGGAATAAAACATTAGAAGTGATTTCACGGTCCTTTTATCACCACTAGACAGTTGCCAGTAAATCAACAAATTTGCAGAACATTTATAAACTATAAGACACAGACGTCAGAAAGTAAATAAGAAATTGCATAACATGACCAAGAAGGGGTTTAGGAGAGAAGAAAACAATGGAACCCTAAAAGTAAATTCGAACTCTTGAAGCCAGATCTTTGTGTTATACATATGCAAGGCAAGAGGTCAAATAGCGTAGACTTTGGCATATATGAGAAATTCCAGTTACTTTACACAGAAAAACACGCTGAATTCTAAGAAGCAACAAATCTAGAGAATTTGGACTGTGTGTAAAACAGTTAAGCCAAAGCTAGAATCACGTGTTATAGTTTTGATTCTGCTTGGAACAATGCCAACATTCCGTCTTCAAACTCTATAGGCTGAGAAAGAGAGAGAGAACGTGGAGTTAGCAGCAAGTAGGTAGAAGTAGAGAGCCAGCTAGCCATTAGTTGAAGTCAATCAGCTAGATCCAGTCTGAGAATATCCGTACTAACCACCATTCCCTACTCATGCTCTGTGTAAGTGATACTACCATATCCACATCATCTAGTAACTTAAATGTTTATATGTCATCAGAGCTGAATATAGTAGAATTGATCGATAATTCATTTCAAGTAGTTGCGTCGTTGATGAGACTTTTGGAGAAATTTTTGAATGATTACCAAGTATATTAACTGAGTAATATGTATATCATATATATGATATGACAAATAAATATGTTCTATATAATTACTTCACTTTGAGAGTGAATTTTTATTCTTTAGTCAACTTCCTCGAGTTGGTAGCTTGTATGTTCATGACAGCTTATCCTGGTATTTAATAAATATCACTTGTTTGCTATAGCTGTTATCCACTGTTCGTTACAAATTAATAGAGGATTTTTGAATTCATAAATTTTTCAAAATGGAGTTGAGATAAGTTTATTTGAGTTAGTATACTTAGAAATTATTTTTAAAAGAAGAAAGCATGGTTATAGCTACTGGAGAAAGTAAGAGAAAAGGTGTACGACCTAGAACTAATGTGATGGCAAATGCAGACTTAGAAGTTGTAGCAGCTTTATCAGTACCAGCAGGTCAGTGCGATGATACACATTCAATAAGTGCTTTATTGCTGAGGTCAGTGCGATGATACACATTCAATAAGTGCTATATTGTTGAGGTCAGTACGATGATACACATTCAATAAGTGTTATATTGCTGAGATCAGTGCGATGATACACATTCAATAAGTGTTATATTGCTGAGGTCAGTGCGATGATACACATTCAATAAGTGCTATATTGTTGTTTTATGGTAAAGTTGAAGAGGATATTGAGAATTTTACTAACACAATTGTTGAAACTGTGAGAATATCAGACTGGACAGTTGTGTAAAAATCAAATATTCTTAGATTAAGAATAGCAGGCACTGCACAAAGGTTTATCAGAACTTACAATGAATTAAAAATAACCCCTAACTTTAACCAGTTGAGAGACAGATTGTTGCAAGAATATAGAAAGCATAAGACACCAAACACTATTATGATGCAGATAAATATTCTTATACAATAGAGGGACGAATTTGTTAGAGTATTCGGTCATAAGCTTCAGGAGTTAGGCAATACATTGAGAAGGGCTTATGTACCTCATAATGAATTGGTGATCCAGGACACACTAAATTCTAATTATGAGAAGGGGTGGCCAGTAGTTTGATAAGATTTAACCTGAACGAAGCGAATATGCTATTAGCAATGCTAGCATACTTAAATGAAGTAGCTAGAAGGGAGGAATTTGGAGAAAAACGCTATGAATAATAGAAATAACAAAACAAATTGGCAGGTAGGAAGTAAAATAAGTTAGAGATTATGAAATGTTTTAATTGTGGTAAACAAGAGCATATTGCTGAAGGAGTTTAAAAAGAAATATGTGCAAATGGAATTATTTTTATAGTAGATTAAAAAGCAACATAACCCGAAAATGTAGACGTCCACAGAAGGTGAGAAATAATAAACCACCAGGGTTTGGAACTTTTAGGAAAAGAATTTAAAAACTACTGTAAAGATGCAGAAATATACAACAACTAAAAACATAATATCAGCCAGATTTACAAAACAAAACTAATAGTAGTTCTGGCAGTATGGAATAGAAGATCAGGCGTGAATAGTGTCAATGAAATTTCAGCAGTAGCAATTTTAAAAATAAAAGTTATAGAATTTTGGTTAGTAGTTGACATGGACACTATCTTCTCTGATAAGTGCAAATTGAGTAAACAAAAATTCGACGATGCTAGATAATGCAGGGAAGGAAGTTTCAAAATGTATTTTAACTTCTATAACAGGACATCCTATTTAGATGTTAGGCAAGTATAGAAATAGGAGATTTGAAACTTGAATACTCTTTCTATATCTGTAAGCAGATAGATTTAGAGATAAATAGTATTTTAAGACAAGATTTCTTAAGAAATATAATACTTGAATAGCCATCATCAGAGGTTGTATGTATATAAATATAGCTTTGTATATAAATGGAGATCTTACGTTTTGAAGGAGACTTGAGTGGTGCAAAATTCGAGACAAACTATACCTTTCTTGTGACTCAAACTAATAGTCAGATGCTGAAAACAATCATTATTGAGCGAAGTAGTGAGACTAAAGATCAAATATCAAAAAACAAAAGCTCCAATACTCCTAAGCGTAGTAATAAACAAGAAAATGAGGATGGTAATAGGATTAGGTGTTCAAACAAAAAATCAGGCTAGTGAAAATAGGAAGAAAATTCCTAAGTCTGGGGAGAGTAATAGCAATGCAGTAGTTATAACAGGTAAAGAACCTCTAAGTATGGTGAAAGTAATAATGGCAGTACTAGTAGTAGTAGCAATAGAGCGAAAAGGAGAAGTAAAGATAGATTAAAGAAAAACAATATTAGACAGGTAAATAACTATACAGACCCCTCAGATGACTCTACCTCTAATTTAGGCAGTAGAACATCCCAATAAAAGATTTTGTTAGATAGAGTACCTATAAGTTTATAAAGAGTAACTGAAGAACCTGAGAGAAGTTTATTATAGAAGCTAAAGTAAAAGACTAAGCAAAAGTTTTAATTGAGCCGATAGAGCCAGAAGAATCAGGAGTTTATATTGTTGCGAGTAATAATAAATTGTCTGAGAGAGCTATAATGCCAGTAAATATTTTAAATGCAAACAACAATAAAGTGGTGCTACCAAAGCAGATAGTAGTAGGTAAGGCTAGCAATAGAAAAAAAGAGAAAATAGTTGCAGTAATGCAGCATAACGCTGAATATAATAAGGAATATACACGACAGAATAAAATTGTTTGGTATTCTATAACGGCTAGTAAACTTATTAGAAGAATATAGAGATATATTTGTGGGAGAACGTGACTCTGATGGTTACACAAACAAAGTAAAACCAAATATAGTGTTGAACAGTAATAAAGCGATAGCACAGTGAGGCAAAGGGTAGAGTCGACAGTATATGTAAAAGATATACTTGAACAAGGTATAATTAGAGGGCAGTAGTGGCCCTCAGGCATCTTCAGTTTTATTATTAGTTCTTAGCTCCCAGTAGCACAGCGGTGGGCAAAGCCCAGATAGCCCGTTGTGTAGCTTTGTGCTTAACTTCAGATAACAACACTAGTTCTTAAAAAGAGATTTTAGATAAGACTAAAGAGAAGGCAGCTAGTCATCACCGCCCTCCACCAACTCTTAGGTTACTTTTTTACCAACGAATAGTGGAATTAACCATCACTTTATAACGCCCCCACGGCTTAAAGGGCGAGCATGTTTGCCAGATTAGTTAAGGTACTCAATGTGTAAGAAAGTTAATTTCATGCTTCATACTCCCTAGTAAACTAGAGAAAGTGTTTGAAGAAATTGATAGAAATCTATCACCCCACAGTTCATAATTCCTACACACACAAATCCAGTGGCAGACCTACGATATTGCTATGGGGGTGGCTATGACAAATTTACGAATATGTATAAACAATGCATTTTTTAAATTTAGTGAATATGATCTATATAAAGCTTATATGTTCCATTTGAATTTATAACTAAAGTAGCACAGAAAATAAATTATTTATTTAAAATACATAAACAAATTAAACATATTCAAACATATCGATTAAGCATTGGATAAATACACATGAATCTATTCAATGTATACAAGTATAAGGAAGTACACGGACAGAAATCAAAACATAACTATGATAGTTTATGTAGGTCCAAACAAGGAAGGATTTATTCTAATAGTTAAAAAAAGGTTTATGCCTGCATTTGACGAGAATGAAGTGAAATAAATCGTTGTACGATTTCATCTGTTGACAAAGTAACAGTATTATAATGCATGGCCATCACGCACGGATCAGAAAACATGGTGTTGCTAAGCTATGAATGAATGCGACAAACACAAGAAAATGAACGTTCCGCCTCCCAACTACCAACTGGCAAAATTGGTATAAATTACAAAATAATTCTCTGCCGTTTGGGAAGAATATTTCATCAGCAGTTTGCCAAATGAGTTGCGTCACAGCTTCATTGCTGTTTTTACTATCCTTACAAAGCTGTTGCCATCTAAGTAACTCACTTTTGAAGGCAGTTGGACGTGGAAGAACAAATTACCATTGTTTGAGCAATAGATTTGTCAGTGCTTCAAGTTCATCAAAGTCCTTCTTTAGGAGGACATCTGGCATTAATGAGCACAACGCAAAGTGTGTTTGCATGTTTTCTCCACAGCGTGACCTCAACTGTCCAAAGATTATATCTAGAAAACGAATTGCTATGTTGTGTTTGTAGTAGTGGGCTATTGGAGTGATGCATCTGATATCCACATATAATTCTGGGACATTTTTCTTCAGAATTTACAGATCGTGCTAATTCTTTGGCTTTGGCTTTGGCATAAACAATGGAAAACCAATAATTAACAGATGCACGAAGGGTTGCATAACAATAAATCATCTGATATACTTTTTGAAAACACAATTGAATTGGACACATTGGTTCTAAACCTTCCTTTGCAATTGTAAAACTGACGATATGCTCAAAATTAGTAAACGTATGGCGTAACCCATTTGCTTTACTCAGTGTTTCTGAATGCCAACTCCAGCTCTCTCCTTCGGTGTAAATATCTGGGTCTCGTGAGGGTTGGCAAATTTTATAGTGTCTTCTGACAATGTAAACATAAAGCTCTTCAATTGTATCGTAAGTGGTGTGTCATTCTATCCATCGTGTTTTGCAGGGTTTTTTTTTTTTTAATATTAGGAGCAAGTGTCACAATGATAATTTGAAAGAACTTTTGGCGTTTGGATGAATTGTCAAAGACTGAAAATAAAGGTCGACAAGAATCCATCATATTCCGAATAGAAGGTATGTCACAACCATGGCATACTGCTAGGTTTAGAGAGTGAAGCACACATCCTTGGTAATCAGCATTTGGTGCAAATTTCTTAATGTATGCTTGAACTCCGCTTTTTTGTCAGAAATCAAGGAGGCAATTGTGTCATAAACCTGGCCTTTGCATTCTTCGATTTTAACATGTTGTTTCTGTAAAGTATCGCGAATTGTTGGTGTAATCATTTATCCTGTTATTCGCTCAAAGTCAACTAAGTCGAGAAATACTTTTTGTTTTTCTGGCTGCTGTCCAGTTACATCCAAAACTCGCATGCAAACTCGTATTGGAAGAGGTTTCATCTGCTATTATTGCGTAGTGAGGACAAGCATGGATGCACATTCGAAAATGGTCACGAATTGTATCTGCAACTATTTGTATCATTTCGTTTTGTATTGTCTTACTGGTGTACACGGTATTTTTTGGACCAGAAAAGATGTGCTCTTTAAAAATTGGGTTGTGCTTGGACATACGACAAATTAGTGCAATAGAATTTCCTTCATTGCAATCAGGTAACTCTGCGTATTCGATCTTGTTATCTCAATGCCCTCGTAAACCTATCTGCTGTCTTGCACAATATAAAACGGCATCAACTATAGTTGGGAGAATTTGTTTATTACTTTCTACTTTGTCAGCAGTAACTGAATTAATAATCGAATTGATTCGAAGTCCAAGATCACGCACTTGAGATTTATTGTAGGGTGCACGTTGAATGCTTTCTTGGTGGTAGGTGTTCTATTCATGACTGCTCAGTAACTCTTTGGATTTAGCTAAGTTATTGAATGATGTCTTCACGAAAACACCTAAGTTTTGCTTTTCCATTTTTTGTAAAAAGATAACACAAGGGAGACACCACCGTCTTTTTAACTAGGGTGATTGCTGTAAGTAAGTCACTTATAGCCATAAAGCCATGTCGATTGAAAAGCAATTGCCTTAAATTTTTGTCATATTTTGAACGTTTTATTGTCAAATTTGTAATGTGGAGAAAGCTTCCAGCAACATTCCATAAATACCGCTTTCGCTGAGTCACTCATCTCTGTTGAGACATTTTCGTCAAGTACAGATGCAATATCTGTTGTTGGAATGGTGTCTTTTATTTGTAAAGTAGAAGCACTTGCTTCAGAATACTATGTTGAAGTTGTCTCTTTTGATTTGTCTTCACAGCATACTTCATCAGATTTCGGAGTGCTACTTTGCCCAAAATGAAAACAGGAAATACACTGTTGCTTTAGACGATTAACTGGTGATCCGCTAGACATGGTGAATAACTGAAAAATAAAATACGTGAGCATAAAACATCAGTAATACTATTTAAACCAGAGGAGTAAGTAGAACGTAAAGTTTAACTCTTTTCAGCACGGACTCGGTCCTTGGAACCGACCTCGTAACCATTTTGTGTTTGTTATAGTTTCCAGACTATAACTTTTAAATTAATAAGCGTATGTTCACGAAATTTGGATTATCAGTAAACATTACAATGCTTTCGTACGCAAAATATCAGATTTTTTTATAAAGTTTTTATATTTTTAAGTAATGTTTTTCTCGTGCCTTTTTTCTTTTCGCATGTCGACAATCCAACATGCAAAGTAATTTTGATTTTAAGATTAAAAATTCTTTTATGCATCAGACATTTTTCTAATTTCTAATGTAATTATCAAACGTGTTTAAGAAAAAACTTTATATTTTATCTGTTATTTTCACTATCGAATATCTTTACGGGTCCGGTAGATTTGACCCATTTCGTAACCACCATAAAACTTAGGAAATGAATATAAACTATGTTTTTTCGTCCTAGAATGACTACAAATTATAACACACGAAACCACAAATGTTTAGTCTAAATAGCTTAAATTTCAAAACATTGACCTTACAGCCGTTCCTGGCTAGCATCATTGAAGTTGCAAAGATGCGGCGCACGTGCAATCATGTTACTGTATCCAAGAATATAAAATTGGCCTTTACAAAGTGACCTGTCTTGGCTGTGTTTTAGTGGACTAGTATTTTGTAAAATACAGTCATATTTCAGTTTTAATACATTATATATGTATATACATTATTGCTATTTAAAATACGTTCTTGAATTTCAGTTATTTTTCTTAAACATAGAAAAGTAAATAAGGAAGTACAGAAAATAATTATCTCTTCCATTCCAGTTACGAACTTAGAACTCGTATGCTGTAGGAAGCTGAGATCTATCAATTTCGTACGTGGAGGATGTGAAACGAAATAATCTTTTTTAGGTTTTATATATACATTTTGACATGATCAAAAATTACTATAATTTATTATCCTTAGAAACTAAGCTGTATAAATAACATGAAATTTCGAGCTCACTAAAGACTTACCTTATCGTTTGAAATCTTCCATGAAAAGAAAGAGTTTCCCGCGTAAATACTTTGAAAATGCTCAGAGATCCACGTGGGGGACATTCTGGGCTGTAAATTGGTTATTCACACATCGTAGACAGAAGTACATGTACGTAAGTATCTTTAAATGTAGGAAGAGGTGGGCGGGGCCACTGTGTTTGGTTGATTATTCAGTAAATGTAGTGATATCCCAGCAAATATAACATTTTTATTTTAGCTTCTAGCTTGTCAATATCGGTAATTTGAGTTCCTGATTCATAAGAAACTATACACTTTGTATTTGGATATCACAAACATCTAATTTGAACCAATGCTGCATACAACATACTACGTGACACACAAAAATCGATATTTAGGTATGTTTTTTTATATTTACTTTTAAATTAAGAAATTAAACAATGTATAATATTAAAATTTGGATTATAATCTACAATTTGATACTAAACTTATTGACATAAATTCATAAAATAATAGTTCAATAAAATTTTGAAATCGTGTCAACAAACGCGATGACATAGCCTTTGACCCGTACGGATAGGAATAATAGAACAAAGGTACATACATAGTAAATATGTGATAAACTTACAATGGTGTAAATTGCTTCAAAGAAGAATCGTTTGCCCGTGCAGACGTGCAATGTGAAAAATGTTATACTGAGTACTTGTGAGATTCACTTCAGTCTAAATTTATAATCTATCAACTGATAGAGACACCAGAGGAAAAGCAGCATAATACAGACATACTCATTAATCCGAGGTATTATCCAATCAAATGTCTCAACCTGATTTATATATATTAGTTAGTCAGCTCACGAATTTTAATTACTCATGTAATCAATTGTTAAGTAATCATTAAATAAGACATTTTCAAAAATGTGACATAAATTTTTAAAGAATATAAAAAGGGGTGGATAGCCACCTTAGCCACCATCACCCCTAAATCCGCCACTGTACACATACGCAAATGTAAACACTGCCGCTGTAGAAGATATGCTCGGGATGTTTATAGATACCATGGAAGGTTATAGATAGGTTATTTAAATTGTACAAGGTAGTATTCTTACCAGTCACATTGAATAAATCCATAGCTTTAACACCCTATATAGCTGTGTCCAACGATCAACATGCGTATTTAGATATGACAGAGTAAAATATATTAAAATGTATAGAAGAACCAATCAAAGTATGCGATCCAAATTCTGCGACCAAAAAACCAATCAGCAGGATTCACTGTGTGTTATTGACAGGAGTGATAGTTTAGCGATTTTTCACCTTCTGTAGCTCGGACTATGGTAATCCAAACTATCACATATTTTCAGAGGGTGTTCCCTACTGGACTCTTACTTCACATGCCAAATTTCAAGGCAATCCAATCCATTGAGAAATTCCTGAGATATAACCTCTCCAATTTTAATTCAATTTCTTCTCTTTTTTTTTTCTTCGCACCAAAAGAACAAAAACTTTATTTGATAGAAAACAATACTTAACTCTTATGGATTTTTTGAAATTTGGTACCCTGCTAGATCTTTTGAACCTACAATTACGAGTCTGACTTGGTGTAAATATAATCCTACATGTGCAAAGTTATTCAAGAAAAATCACTCAAAATCACTACAGCTTTAACTAAGAGTCAAAATGGACCGTTTTGAGTTTTTGTCATTCGGTTTAAAGACAGTTGATTTAGAGCAGCAAAACAGTAAGGTGAAAGAACGTGTAAATACATAAGTATTGGTTAGGCCAAGCAAACTAGATAAGGAGTTTCTAGCTCAAGTTTTCAAAAGAATCATACATGTGGACGGTTATTATTGATTATTCATTGCCAACTTTTCAGCACACATTTACTAAATGTTATGAAATTATCTCAATTAAAGAGCGTTTAGCGTCGCGTGATATTAGCTTAAGCAATTAGCATAAATAGTGATGCTTGATACGGCTGTACCGATTGCATTGGGTGATGACAAGACACTGTTAATCTAAATTCCACGGCGTTACTATAAAGGAAGCTATTAACACTGTTTTAGACAGGAAAAAGTACTGCAATATATTTTAAAGAATCTAGTTGATTCTGTAAAGTAAAGGTCTGTTCCGAATAATAGGGTTGCAGTCCTAAAGCTAATGTTGGTTACTATCGAGTGTCACTTTCTCACTTGCTGTGGTGTGTTAGTGTATATTGACAAAAAGTCATGATATCTAATGAAAAACACCTTAGGTGTGAAAAAAAAAAAGGTGCGGCGAAAAAAGGATTGAGTGTGCGACTTAAAAGAATTAAATCAAAACTGGTGGCCAAACTGGTAGCTACACTTATAGCATTGATAATAATTTTACAGCAAATATTCATTCTTATCAGTCACATTGAATAAATCCATAGCTTTAACACCCTATATAGCTGTGTCCAACGATCAACATACGTATTTAGATATGACAGAGTAAAATATATTAAAATGTATAGAAGAACCAATCAAAATATGCCGCGTATTTTGTTTTACCAACCATCAGGTTGTATATATTAAATCTCTTCTTAGCACAGTAAAATTAAATGCATATAATTAACTATTCCCAAGTACAGTAAAATTAACTCTATACGATAAGTGATTCCTATGTAAAGTACAATTAGCTGTATACAATGAAGGTATCCTAAGTATAGTACCGCTAAATGTATGTAATAATTGTTTAATTACTTAGATTTATATAATATATGTTTCTTTATTACGTTTATGTTAGATATACAGTATATAAACAGTATTTCTTCAGTATATTAATGGTAGATGTACATAATAAAAAAGCACAGTAAAGCTAGACATGTTTCATCTGTACAATGAAATTAGATGTATATAGTAAATGTTTCCCAAGTACAGTACAGCTAGATGTACATAATAAATGTTTCCTCGGTAGAATAAAGTTACATCTCTATTACAAATTTTTCCTAACGTACATAATGAATATTTCCTCCGTACGTTAAAGCTACATGTACATAATAAATTCATCATTTATTCAGTACAGTATGACGAGCATAAGGATGTTTCTTAAGTACGGTACAACTAGATGTGTACGACAAATGTTTCCTCAATAGAGTAAAACTAGATGTAAATGATAAATGTTTCCCTAATACATTAGAGCTACGTGTATGTAGTAAATGGTTGATAACTCTGGCAGAAATATGTAAATAAAAACTTCTTAAACAGCCTGAAAAATATTTATATATTGTAATATTTTGGAGGTGATGATTCTTTCTTTATGAATTAAGTTGTTTTCTTTTTATCGCTAATTGGACACTGTGATCTCAATTAGTAAATTGAAACTAAATAAATGGAGCAAGCGATGAGTTAAAATCCGTAAATAAAAGTTTTTAGAAGTTGTTTTTTACATCGGAAAAAGACGGACACGAGTAATTACAGCGTAAAGCAATTCTTACTTCTCTCTCAATATCGAGGAAAGAAATATTGTGTCAAGTTTGTGTTGGTACAGATGAATTTTATTTATTAAAGAAGGAAGAACTTAGAAAAGTGCAGGTGAAGATATTTTGATTTAAGTCACCAACTGTTGTTTGTTAGACAACTATAATAGCGACTGGACACGCTGAACAACCTGCGGGACTCAGTAACACAACATAGACATGATAACGATACCTACAGTTAAACTGTTCAGCTTGTGCTGCAGTGGCGTCACTCAGTTCCGATTATTATTTATAAAAGAAGGTTAGGTGTGTTTAGTGATTCACATGGCAATTAATTTTGAGACTTCTATAAATACAACCACGGAACGTTGGCAAAGTGTTTGAATTTCATTCAGAGCCAGATCTTGCTAAACTTCAACTCCATCTGTAGAATCGTAATTCCATAGACATTCTTTTAACTAAACGTATTAGATCTAAGAAGAATAACAAAACTTTAACAGTGAACAAGAGAATTATGTTTTTTTAAATGTAAAAAAAAACAACAAAAACTCATCTTTCTTAACGTCAAGGTTTCTCACAAAACTACACAAGGGATATATGAACTAACAGACTAGAGGAAAAGCAATTAGCCAACATCTGTTTTGGACAAAGCAATTCTATCAGAGCAGTTAGTGCTTAAAACGTGAGTCTCCTACGTGAGGACGAACACTACCACTGCCGAAGTCTGACACGAATTTGTTCGAGCACTCTGGACTAAAATCAAGAACAAGTTGCATAATTTACTTTTGCATTATCTTCAAGCTAAGTATGACCTACTGATATCTAAGATTGGACTTGAAATAGTGAGATTTTTAAAATATGCCTTTCAAGGAAACAAAACAAGATAAAAGGGAAAACTCTTATGTTAATAACCTTGAAAAGTCTTTGTCCCAGAAAAGAGAACATTATTGCAAAAATAGAGATAAGGCTAGAAACAGTAATGCTGAATGTGCGAAACAAGCCTTAGCCATCAATTTAGTCAAAGAAAAGGCTGCCATCCTGGCTAGATGGGAGAAAAACTATAGCTAAAATATCAACAAAAGCCAGGATAACTCTAAAAGTTACAAGAAAAGCTACAAGAAAGATAGGCCTAGATCCCCGTAACTCTAGAGACTTAACACCAGAAAAAGCTATGAGACAATTGTAAAAATATTTTTTATAAAAAATTAGGAAGTAGGAATGGAAGCACCAAAAAGTAAGGAAATAAGGTAGGAATTGGCGGGATAACTTGACAACACTCTGCCCATTTCTACTTCATGTTTTACTTTGAACTTTGACCAAATTATGGATTTGAATGTTCATTATTGAGTGGTAATTCCTGTTTCACCCTGTGCTTGAGCTTTTTAAAGGAACACTATATTTTTGTATAAAAGCTAACGTCAAAAGGTAATGATAACATCTTTTACACTAGAATTATGATTTCTTAAATATTATTACTAGTTATTACGACCAAGGAATGACATGGTGCACTTCTCAGAAACACGTAGAGTAGATTTAGGTTTCAACTGACGTTAGTGATAAAGTAGTTGTAGAGTTACCTAGACTAACGCAATAAGAAAAAAGATGAACAGTTTGGTAGATTGGTCACTTTCTGGTTAGGTATCTTAGCGACGGTTTTTTGCCTTGTTGGGTAGAAAACAAATGAAAGAGAGTGGCAATCACCTTTTAAAGTAAAACTCTCTGTCACTGTTGATTTTTTAGAGTGCATATTTGTATTATGCCTATTGTGTACCTTGGCCATTCTTACATATAAAGTTTACATATAGACTTTATGAAAATGAAGTGATTTTTTTTTGGGGGGTGACATTAGTCTGTCGAAACATATAGTATGTTCCCACAAAATAAATCACTTCATTATGTTTATAAATCATTATCTGACAACTGATATTAGCATAATGTACTTCCATTCTCAAGATTATTCGTCTAAACATTAAATTAGTAATAAAAACATTTATATGGGTTTCAATTCTCTTTCTTTGCTTGCCATGGTTCCCTATAGGTAGAGTCAAATGAGATTCTGCTTAAAGCAAAATTATTTGTACAAGTGAAATAGGTTAGTTTGGGATATTTTTCATCTAGTGTATCCCCAAAATGAATCTGAAGTTCTCAAAAGAGTCGTCTAAAATTTTTCTATTGATTTTAAGTTTGATTAAATATTTAATTGTATATATTATTAAACTTTATTATGTTTTATGATTACTTCTACATATGGAGTTCCACCTACCTCCACGTGTGACTGATGAAACCGGAACAGTTTTCTTTGCAGGTTATACATGGCTGACCTTCATCTACTTCCTGAACTAGAACACGCTGTGAACCAGAAAGAAAAATAACATAAGTGAAAATGCAAATCTAACATAAACAGATTTGTTGTTCTAAACCCCATTTTGAATATGTTACTTTCATCTTGCATAGAACTGTTGAATTTACACAGCTCAGAAAGTGAGCTTCTCATAGTTCGACAAATAACAACACAACTATCATACTGCCAGTGGTGAAAAATATGTTTCTTCAGCATCAACAGTAAAAACCAACGGTGGGATAAAGGGCAAGGTTATCCTTTGCCATGGCATGCTAATGTCATATACAATATTATACAGATGTTGATTACGTTATGTTAAAACGATTTTGGATCCTCACCACGTCGTCATAGTCTATGTCCGCCTCTAACTGTACTCTACTTGACGACTGTGTATCTTCAAATAGCCATGCAACGTAATTTCTATTGTAAAAGACTCCGTCGTAAAGCTTTCATGCTCAAAGCACACCCTTCCCTAAAACTATCCTTAATCCATCCAGTGTAAGAGAATGACGGTTTCCAAACGTTCATTTCAACAATCAGATCACAAAGATATCCATAGGTGTTGCATCTATCAATGGAATAGCATGATCAATCGTTTTATTCTCCAACTTCTAGCAGTATGCGGTGGTTCAACTGATATGTCATGGAAGCAACTTATGTACACGTGACTTGTACGTCCTTTTCCAGATAGGGATCCTCTTCTTGATCATATTATGTAATGTTGCCTGAGCCACGTAGACAGCTTTTGCTACTGGGTTGTGTGATGCTGGATTACTAGCTGATATTAAATGCCGCAGTTTGTTTACTGCTGCTGCGGTATGACTTGTTACAGGCCTCGTCTTACAGTAACATCTAGAGCATAATATGATATACACTGCAGTTAGAAAACCAATGACCAGACAAGGTGCGAAACTCTACAAATTGCGATTGCATATAGATTGTGATAAGCTATTCAAGATTTATGGTGGTTAAAATTACATAGAATAGTATATTTTCTCATATAATTACGAATCTCAATTTTCACCAAAATACAATAAGTATATACAACCATTATGGTACAATGTGGTTTGTTTAATTCTAGTGGTATTAACTAGCATGTAGACAGGGTAGCTTAGCAGGCAAGAGTGCAAAATTATTGTTAATTATGCCAACACTTACGTTGTATTCCAATAATCTGCACTTCTCTAGTTTCGACTTCCCTGACCCCTATAACAATATGGTAAAAATAATCACTTTTATCAATTAATATAACGGTTGAGCTAACTAGCTAGTGTTTAGAAGGTACATTTTAAATATTCAAACACTTTTTGCACATTATGCAATCAATTAGACATTTTGTGATACCGATATAAATGATCGGTAGTTTGATCATTAGGGCTTTAGTAAAAGCATCAAACCCAAGAAAATTTGAGTAACCATTTCTAGCAAAAGATATTCATATCTATAATATCTGCATCAATATACTGTATTTTATGTATAGTGTTTTCATTCGTACCAGTTATGCAAAACAAAAACATTTTTTACGCTACTAGCGCCACTCTTGCATATATACTACAGTTTTCTGCCAAGACAGGCAGGAATCCGAATTCTGAGGTGTTCAGTTAGATTGGAGAGAGTAAGTTGAACAATGCCACGAAAAAGTGAACAGGCTAGCAGTCATACTGAGAGAGGAGGGAAGGACGTGGACGACCCTCGACGATGGGTGAATGGGTCGGCCACTTCTGGCCCAGTTAGCGTGTCGCACGACATGGAATTTGATAGAGATTATGCCGGCAAACGAGTGAGATCTGATTCCGGATCAAGAGTCGAATCCATCGGACAGAAAAAGTCAACTCCAGATAGAAAACAAATAGTCTTTGTAATATCGCCGGACGTCAATATTGCGAAGGTCAATCCAATGCTCTTAAGTAGAGCCCTTAATGATATCATTGGGCCCACTGACAAAATCCAACTTAAAACGGATCGTCTAAAGATCATTTGTTCCTATTCACAATCAAGAATATTGTCTAGCACAAGAACCATCTGTGGATATAAAATACGATCCCAGATTCAAGACGTACCTCCACCTTCTGTTAGGGGTATCATTCATGGAGTCCACCTCGACATTACTGAGGAGGACTGTACAACTATAGAGGGGGTTATAAAGGCAACTAGGAACCACAGAAACCTCAATCTTCTGACAAAAGTAACGACAACACCTCTCAACAGGTTAGTGCTTCAAACAGTAGTCGTATGTCACATCAACTGTTTGAACATATCGTTACTTTTGTGGCCAAAATCATTTCAATCGCTCAGGACCAGTCCTTTTGGCAAAAAACTGCAGAAAAACGAGGATATCTTTCATAACCGAATTGGCAAGTACCATTTTTGGTTATGATATTAATCCCGACTCAATTTATGAACTGTACCAAGTAAGTGCCCCTACAAATAAACAATAGGACCTTTACAAATATTACAATGGAATGCCAAGGGCATTAAGGCTCATGTTC